TTTATTATACATATTCATTGCTTATAAAATCTGTCTAATTTATGCAAAGAATTTTGTTGACCCAAAATGTATGGACTGATGGTTATATTTCACCAATTTTTAATTCTGAAGATCCCATTTAGCGCCTTGTCCATCTGATGACCGAGGTATTATTCTCATATAGACTAAGACAACGATGCAATGATTTCGGATCACATATTGAAAAAACTGGTATAAAAATACTGCCACAGTGAAGAGGTTATACCTTGGACTTGTTCTGTAGACTTCCATAAATCGTTTGACAGTTTAAATAATGTAGGTCTAAAACTGAACTTAATAATATGAAAGTTCTCTTGGTACTTTATCTTATGATTATATTATATCAGATATGTGCATGTATGTCAACAGTAAAGCATGCGAGTATCAATCTCTCGGATTCATTATGCATTCAATTGGGTGTAAGACAAGGATACATTTGGAGCCCTATTGCGTTTAAAATACTAATAAATGATTATTCATCTTATCTTGAATCTTGCTTCAATGCAGTTTGCCTTCATTCACTGAAATTAAATTGTTTGATGTATGCAAACAATATTATATGCAGTCGTGATAGCATTATATGCAGTTGTCGGAACATTATATGCAGTGGTCACAACATTATCTGCAGTCGTGATAGCATTATATGCAGTGACCGGGACATTACATGCAGTGGTCACAACATTATACGTGTTTGTTGGTAAAGGTGATGATCAGTGATGGTGATGGTGATAATTGATGATAGTGATGATGGTGGTTTAGATTTGGTAAATTTGTTATCGGAAATTGCCGAATCCAGTCATAATTGATAATGCCCCGCAAACAAAATGAAACAGTTATTGAAGTCATGTAATTTAGGCAATTTGATTGAAATCTTTATCAGAGAAAAAATAACGCCTGCTATTGTCTGCAAATTGGACATAAATTTAGGGGTAGTTCATTCCGAGGAAATGATGAAACTAAGAGTTGAATGGATTAACTAGTTCTGTTCGTCTTAAGAAATACGCACGGCATAATGTAACTAAAATAATGATAAATAATAATGAAATATCAAAGGACAGTTTGTATACTATATGTCTCGAGTTCATTTCCTACTGAAGAGCTATAGCTAGGTGCCACTTTATAGTCGATATTCAGTTTAAATTGCATAAATACATTTTGAATAAAATAGTCAGCAGCTGTCTATAAGACCTAAGTCCCATATCTCGCTAGCTTATATATGTCATGATAGAGCCATTATTTGGCTTCGATTTTCAGAATTATGCATTTTTACATGATTTAGTATCTAACAGATATGACAAATGCAGTTTAAAGCATTTTATTGTAGGTGTTTAACATAACTTTTCATCAATTGTATCCAACTTTTACAAGCTTTTTAGCACGTAAAGCAGTTTGTCTTCTAAATATGAGCAGCAGCATTATATCAAAATATAAACTTTCATTAAGAAAATTTATTCTATTCCGGACCCAGTTTAACATTTTTATTTATAGTTATCATCTCTTTATCATCCCTTCGGAAAACGGAGTTTGGGAGTGGATATAGCGTTTATTACGTTTGTTCGTCAGTTTGTCACGGCTAAGTTTTGCATTTAGGTCAAGGTCGAAACAAACTGAGAGTCAAAGAGGAATTATTTACTATTAGTGCGCACATCTTGGATAGTAACAAAGGACCTTGAAAAAAATTTGGTCACCTCGACCTATATTTTACACATAAATGATTCTGATTAAAATTTGTGTTAATTATATAAAGTCCAGATGAAAGCAACAACAAGTAAAAGAGGAATAATATTTGTTACTGAGCACTTCGTTGATTTGAATGAAGGTCCGCACAAAAATGTTGTCACCTCAACACAAAAAAAAAAACAAAAAAAAAAAGAAATAAAAAAACTCGCCACTCGTTATTATGTCTCTTAATGGAGAACTATTGTTTAATTGTGAATTCTTCTCGTTGTTGTTATTGGCGTTCTAATTCTTCTCACATACAAACTTGTCTTGTTGCTATAGTCTGGGGATTTCAGTTATTTTTCCTAACAAAATGTTTTCCATATCCCATGTTATGATCCTTGTCGGAAGTTGAAAATTTCATATCTGAATATTTTTCGTTATCTGAGTACTTTACTTTTGATGGTGGATTGTTTCTGAGGGGCTTCTTTCTCCTTTTTCACTCACGGGGTAAAAATCGGAAAGTTGTCGAAACTTATTGGATTTTTATATATTGCATAGTCCGAATTATATACTTAAAAAGATTTTCATTCATACCATAGTTATTTTGCACTAAAAGTTGCTGTTCCATGCCTTTTTTAAAAAAATATTGCAAATCATATAGCTTTTAGTCGAATTCTATTTCGAATGACATTGCATAAATTAATGTGTTTCCAAAATGCAATACATAGTTTATTTCTGACAGATATTTGGTTCTCCTTGAAAAATACTGGGTCATGATATATCTAAATTGCAGTCCCGAGTAATCTGAAGATGTTTATTTGGGGTTAAATGATCAGAAATGCACAATTATATATGTTTTTAAATACTTAAAGTATAAACATATTACGTTGTGAATATGATGATACTGATCATTGAAATAAGATAAAAAGACGTTAAAAATGCCCCCTGGCGTGGAATTAATTCGTGGTAAATTAGTCCTACTTCTCAATTTCCTTATTTCAATCAGTTTTATATATTGTATAGATAGCTGTCTATTGTTGCCGAAATAGAATATGCTCGTCCTGAATATGCATGAAATATTTGCCACTGGACGTTAAGCAACCAACAATCAATCAATTGTTGCCGACTGTATGACTCCAGTGTTGTATGGTTATCTTTGTCGTTGGATTGCTGCCTCATTGACGCATATCCATATCTCCTTTTTTCATATGAATATAAAAGGAATGAGACATCGTACGTAGATTAAGTGGATCGACGTGTTTCATAAACGCAAACTATTTCTGTCCAAGTGCAGAATCTGCTGTCGGTGGTTGACAGGTTGTCATTTATCCATGTTCGTTTTTTTTTTTTTTAATTTGTTTTAGTTCATTCTTTGCGACGGGATGCTTTATCCTTAAAGTTTGTTGTTCCTTTTCATACGCCATTGTGAAATGTATAAAATATTAAAAAAAATATTTGTATATTTGGACAGCATTATACCAAAACAAAACGATCACTTCAGAGAAAATAAAAAAAAAGATCAAAGTTGGAACAAATAATCAAATCATATAAGACATCGAAAAGACGAGACATCCAGTAACAGTTTTGATGTACAGTCATGGCACCACATGATTTGATTTGCGTATTTCTTAAGATAAATGGAACTATAATAAATCATTCAACTCTTAGTTTCACAATTTTCTCGGAATGATCTACCCCTAAATGGATAAAATAATGTCTGTCCAATTTGCAGACAATAGCAGGTGTGATTTTTTCTCTGATAAAGATTTCAATGATCGAATTGCCTAAATTACATGACTTCAATTATAGCTGTTTCGTTTTGTTTGCGGGGCATTATCAATTATGACTGGATTCGGCAATTTCCGATAAAAATTTACGAAGTTTAACGAATCTGAACCACCACCATCACTATCATCAATCATCATCATCACCATCACTGATCATCACCTTCATCAACAAAACACGTATAATGTTGTGACCACTGCATATACTGTTCCGACAACTGCATATAATGCTATCAAGACTGCATATAATGTTGTGACCACTGCATATAATGTTCCGGCAACTGCATATAATGTTATCACGACTGCATATAATGTTGTGACCACTGCATATAATGCTGTGACCACTGCATATAATGATGATCATCAACATAAGGCAGTCATGGCGTTCCATAATAACTAGTATTGATAACCTCTCATCTATGTTGACGTGTACAAATTCCACAGTTTAATAACAAAAAAATGAAATTTAGACTTTTGGATGGCAAATTTCTACAATAATGAACTACTATAATAGCAAAAGTTTTCAAAAAGTAATGCTGGTTTTTAATTTTGCTTAATATCACTAGCTTTGAGGAAACAAGGTAATCTACTTAACCAGCTGCAGGCATGACTGATATTGTACTGTCTGATCCTTTTTTATCTGAAAGTTTTACATGTTTGATCAGTTTAATATTGAAACACGATACATTTCGTATTGGTAGTTTAATTTTTAATTAATTAATAAAACGTTTTTACAATAGCAAACTTGTGGTTTTCAGACGTAACCACCTAATGGTTATCTTGCTTATTAGTTTTCATAAGAATATTTAGTGATCAATAGCTTGAGACAGGTGGAAAGTAACCCCTCCATACCGAAAAAAAGAGGCAATCATCGGACATGTAAAAGCAGAACGCTACCATTCTAGTGTTAATTTAGTGATAAAAATTGTATTATCAAATTCTTCTATGATTTATATTCTGTAAACTGTGATTTATATTCTTTAAAATTAATCTAAAACCCTATCATTTTCTGTGTTCAGTGGACCGTGTAATTGGAGTCAAAACTCTAATTTGGCATTAAAATTAGAAAGATCATATCATGGGGAAAATGTGTACTAATTTACTAGTTGATTGGATTTCAACTTCATCAACAACTACCTTGACCAAAAACTTTAACATGAAGCGGGACAGACGGACGGACGCACGAACGAACGGACGCACAGACCGAAAAACATAATGCCCCCACCTGGGGCATAATAAAATCAATGCTTTAGTTTTCTCGTTTGAATTGTTGTACATTTGTCTTTTCGGGGCCTTTTATAGACGACTATGCGGTATGGGTTTTTCTCATTGTTGAATGCCGTAGCGTGACCTATAGTTATTAATTTCTGTGTCATTTGGTATCTTTGGAGAGTTGTCTCATTGGCAATCATACCACATCTTCTTATTTTTATATTTTTTACGGCATCTTATTTACAAGATAACGATACACGATAAGAAATGGTAATTAAAAGATTTTATTACATACCATTTCTATAAAATTACACATATATTTAACTACAAAAACTCTGCCGAAGACTTGAAAAATCATGTCCCTCTTTGTTATGACAGGTTTTATACTGTTGTTTCTTAAGAAAAGCTTTTCGCGATTTAGGCTGGTCGTCTATCTACTCACGATTGATCTTTTTCACACGGTTTTCGAAATTCCGTATATCCTGCATTCTTGAATAAAATGTATTGAAATTTGTCGCAATAATGGCAATTGGCATTGCAATTATAATTACTCCACAAACGGCACAGCATCCTCCAACACATTTTCCAAGTACTGACTTTGGGTAATGATCTCCGTAACCTACTGTCGTCATAGTAATAACAGACCACCATATTCCTTCAAAGGATGATGGGAAGGTTGTCGACTCTGTCATTTCGGCGAAAAATATTATGTTGGCGAAAAACACTGCCAACATTAAAATCGTTAAGAATAACAGAACCAGTTCTTTGATGCTCTCTCTAATAGAGGTTAAAAGTATTTTCAGTCCATCAGATTGTTTCGAAAGACGCGTTATACGAAACATACGGAAAGATATTGACGCATAACAGAACTGGTTAATTTCAAGTAATATTTGGTATTTCAACAAAATTGTAAAGCCAAACTGTCTGACGACGAATCGAAACCACATTGAAACATCCAAAACGATATCAAGTATATTTAACCAATTCTTGGCGAATGTTATTTTTGACGGAGCAGTTGCAAATCTTGTACAAAACTCAAGTGTGAAAAAAACTAGCAGGCAGTCATCAACTATATACCACCAAAGTTCCATTTCAGTCGTAAGAAAAAATATAAACTTTGGGTTATTCATATCTTTTAAAAAGTCAATGTTCTGCGTCATGGTAACATTGTCCGTGCTTTCAAAAGGGATTCTAAAATCTGGACTGGTGAACAATAGTTCCATTAAAACAGACAGGATCACAATCAGACAGTACGCAAAATTGTAGCACTGAAAAAAAAAATAACCAGAATAATGCTAGAAATATCATCTATAAAATAACAAACATCTATTAAACTTAAGGACTAATTAACTAACCAATCATCCAATCGTTTGATAATCTAAACTAAATGTTCAACTCCATCACAATTTGTAGATATGCTTGTTTAAATTCAGAAAGACCACAAATGGTTGTTGTGGACTTTCATATGTGTTGAAATTAAAATAGGGTTAAATCATATGATAAGGTGTATATAAAACTAATCGGAGATTTTATCACAGGTATCGACAAATAAAAAAAGAAAACATGAATGAGACATGCATCAACCTACTGACACGTTTAAAAAAATCTAGCAGCATACAGGTGCAATACCACCAAATCATAGTACGTCACATCCGGTTGCATACGAAAAAGGGTCGAAAGAAAATATTCCCTTGAATTTGACAGTTGTAGGAAATTAATCCTACATTTCATTGAAGTAAAAAATTTCTGGGTCATAAACATATATCTTGGGCGGTCTCACTAAATAGCGACAAGAAGAATTTTAGCGACAAGAAGCGTCAAGAAGCGACAAGAAGAATAATTCAGCGACAAGAAGCGACAAGAAGACTATTTAGCGACAAGAAAACATTTTTTTTTATCAAAATTACTTATTCCAAATAAATATTAAAAGAATATGCAAAAGAAAACAATTTTAGCGACAAGAAAAATAGATAGAAAAAAATTTTGAAACATAGATCTAATTGCGACATTTATTTGTGATATTTTAATATTTATTATGTATAAAGCAAGTATAACGTTTACCCTGTCGTACTATGATATTAATTTTACTTGTGTTTTAGAACAATAATATATTTATCTTATAATTTGTTTTTAAAACTCTCTTTGTACAATATATAATAAATTTGCAAAATGCATTATTTGTGCATCATTGTCCAGAAAATACAGACACAAATTACGAAATACAAAGATCTGAAATCAAACAAGAGGAAAACATAATTAAGATGTGATTTTTTTTCATCATTTTATTTTGTGTATTGCCTCATTTAACGATATTTATCATGTTTATGCATAGCTTAATGTTGATTGAAGTTTGAAGGAAATTAATGACAATCTTGAGGTTTTAACAGGTGTTCACTATTTACAATGATTGTATATTCTGTCGCATGTTATCGTATAGTCTGACGCGTGTACAAAGTTGAAGGTGTTAATTGGATGTTATTGTAGCGACAAAACAAGGGACACGGGCCTCGTTATCCCATTCTTCCTTACACATGTTTAATTTCTTCATCTATCAACATAATAATAAAAACTACATAATCCCTTTTTCCTCACAAATGTTTAATTTCTTCATCTATCAATATAATAATAAAAACTACATAATCCCTTTCTTCCTCACAAATGTTTAATTTCTTCATCTATCAATATAATATAAAAAAAATAATCAATTTATTTCTGCCCATATATTAAAAAAAAATTAAATGCATATTTTTTTAATATTTATTTGGAATAAGTAATCTTAATAAAAAAAAATATGTTTTCTTGTCGCTAAATCGTCTTCTTGTCGCTAAAATTATTCTTCTTGTCGCTTCTTGACGCTTCTTGTCGCTTCATGACGCTTCTTGTCGCTAATTAGTGAGACCCATCTTGGGTGTTTCAAAGCACAGTTATTTTTTTTTTTCTATAGAATATTTTGGAAACTTGAGGTTACATGCTAACTAAAGCTTGTACAAAGGTAAAAAAGAGGTGAAAATTTGATTGGTTAACTTCCAGTGATGGTTATTTTCTTATATGCAATGAAATGTTACGTGAAATTTTGTCTATAGTACTGGACAGGATAAAACTTTACTCATGCCAAGTATTTCTTTATTTGAAACAAAGATAAATTCTGCACAATTTTTTGAAAAGTACAAATTTAACAAAGACTAATAGGGGAAAACCAATGGTAGAGACGGGGATAGTTGTCATGTATCCATTTCAACTGTAAAAAATCTGATCGAAAGGAAATGAGGGATATACATCAATAACACAACGGTCACAGTATTTGGCTCTTGTGGAGCACTTGAGTTCTTTGATTTTCTGTGAGTTGGGGACTGTTATTTGTCTCCATCTTTTTTTTTAAATTTTAATTCGTTATTTTGTTGTCTATTTTTCTTCAACATTAGGCAAACCTTTGTACCTTTTGTATAATCTCTCTTCTTTAATTGAAATAACGCTAAATAATATTAAAACTAAAACAGGCTATATCATGTATATTGTGATTTGACCGGAGCTGTGATTAAATTGAATCATATACTTATAAGTTGTGCCTTTACCTTGGCTGGTTGCGATGACAATGGTTCATCAACAAATAACCATATCTTACGCAGTATTCCATTTGCACATTTATTATTTCCATCGAATGCTGAAGGAACTTCTGTCGATAATTTCAGTTTATGAACTGTCTTTAAATCGGTTTCTTTCTTTAGTATTGCTGACCGACAGCATTCTGGAATATCGCTGTATGGAATCTCCCAGTAGTCTAACTCTTTTTGAATTAATTGACTGCAGCAATTGGCTGGCAAATGAATCTCATCATTTCTATAAAAATCTAAGATACGAGAAAACAAATCCGAACTTCGGTCGAAAAAATATAAATCTTTGCCAACAACATATTCCTGTGATGAAGTAGTCAATCTCCCGAGACGTGTTTCGGGGTACTTTTTGAGAGTTGACATGCTGGTCAAAAACGTAGTTCCCCCAACATTTAATGTTATTAAATTATCCATGACCGTTCAATTATTTTTCTAGATGTGTTACAATGAAATGAGAAACGAAATGAATCGGTTGTATCCTGACAATAATTTACTAAATTCTTCGTTGCATGATATTTCAATAAAATCCAAATATTCCCATGGGCAAACCATTATATTATCTTTTGCCAATTGTTAAGCTGTTAAATTTAACAATCTACCACCAACATAATAAATGATCGAAAACAATTCCTAGGCTTATCAATAAATAAATTATTACTTAACCTGAGCCAGGATTGTACATTTCATAACAATTTGATTATTTGTCTGATAATAATGATCAAAACTGGAATAATAAAACTTGAATTGATAGGGTAATAGAACATTGCGTTATAATTGCTTATTATGGTAACGTTTAACTGTTAGATGAAATCTATTTTATGATTTATCATTAAACAAATTTAAATATTAAATAAAATTGTTTCATCATCTAAAGGATAGAATAAAACAGATAATTGTCATGGGTATTTTGTGTAACTGCATGAATTTTCTGTTATATATCCCATTTCAAGCAAATTCATTATTTAAATTAATTGGTGCGTATTTGCTTGACGTGTAGTTATAAATATTGCATGCTTATTCAGACGGAAAAATACTGAACTCCAAGGTAAATTCAAAAGGGTGAAGTCCATAGAAACTGACAAAGTCAAATGTTGGACCATATCAACTAACGGAACGAGTGGAAAACAACTGTAATATTCCTGACTTGGAACAGGCATTTCCCGAAGAAAATGCTTCGCTATACCTGGTTTTATAGCTACATGTCTATGTAGCTAAAGCTCCCACTTGTATGACAGATGTTTATTTAAAAAAAAAAAAAGAAACGCATAGCTCGGATGAATTTTTCAAAATGCAAAATATTTATTTTACAAGGTAAAATGAAACGCTCAATTGCATCTTCGAATTTTTACAGGCAAGTTTTAAACGCCCGTTCTTTTGAAATTTGCGACTCGCTAAAAGTGCATATGACCTTTTTCGCCGCATATGGCAAAATCAAAGGTACTTTATTTAAATCATTTGCACCACGTGACTTTGTCCCTTTTGATAAAATTACTTCCCTTAGCTTAAGATTGAAAATATAATTTATTATAGATTTGCGGATAATCCAGTTCTTTTCCGTCATGTATCTAAAACTAATGTATCTTTAAAAACTTCCTTTGGCGGATATTTACAAAAGTGCTGTGTAATTCTAAGGGAAAATGCTTAAAATTTGACTTTTTACGAAATGGGAAGGTTGAAATCATCATGTTTTTAAAAGAATTTGGCCGAAAACTTAAGAAAGCAGGTAAGTTAAAAGTTATTTAACTTTAAAATTCAACCTACAAGGTGTTTCCCTATATGCGAACAAATCATGAACAATATCTTCTTGCATGTGTATTTCTGTTTTGAAACTTGCTATTTTACGATTTTACGTCATTTTATTTGATATTATAGCAATTACACAATGGTTACGCTTCCGATTTTTAAACTAAAAAGGCCGAAAGATTTCAAAGTAGACAATGTCCATTTGTACACGGACAGAAGCCTAAAAACATGTACAATTCACCTATATGCGAACAAATTGTTTATTCGACATAGGTAATTGCATATTGGCATTTTTATTAAAAGGGCTTATATAATCCTATTGTAATGGCTGCCGTCATGATAAGGCAAAATGGCCGCTATGCAAATTAGCAAATTACCCCAAATTTTGCCATATGGTTGATTTTTGCTAACGTTTTTCACGAGAATTTTGTGGTCAACTCAACTGTTACACATTTGCGCATATAAGGACCAAGTTTGAAGATTAAATTCATCACAACATTAAAACGCTGTTATAGCAAGGTTGGACCCTGCTATTCGAAATATCGTCATCGGCCGTCTCCGGGCCGAAGTGTCCCAAAGTGAAGTAGCAAGAACTGAAAATGTTAACCAGAGCACAATTTCGCGACTTTGGAACATATACCAGTAGACTGGCTGTACTAAGGACCGCCAGAGGAGTGGACGATCTCGCCTAACGACTCCTGGACAAGATTGCTACATACGGGTATTTCTTCAACGAAATCGAACCGTTGCCGCAACAGCCACTGCAGTTGGGATACCAGGATTGAGAAGAATCAGCTCACAAACAGTCTGCAATCGACTACGACAGCATGGCATTAGACCCAGGAGACCGTATTTTGTACCCGTCTTGATGCCGTTTTACAGACGAAATAGAGTCCGGTGGTGCAACAGATTGAGGGGCTGGACATTCCGCAACTTGCGCAGAATCTGGTTCAGTGATGAGTCCCGTTTTATGCTTCAGAAACATGATGGAAGAACTCGTGTCTACATGCGCATGATTGAACGTTTTGCTTCCTCGTGTGTCCATGAAGTTGACAGCTTGAGGAATCGTCATGATGTGGGCTGCTATCTCTAATGACCGTAAAACAGAATTGGTACATGTTCCGGCTAATTTAACGGCTGGAAATTCTCCAACCTCACCTTATGCATGTTATTGACCGACAGAGGGAGTTATTCCAGCAGGACAATGCTAGGCCTCACACATCGCGTTTAACAATAGACTAACTTGAGCAGAATAACATCAATGTGCTACCTTGGCCTTCCAAATCACCGGACTTGAATCCCATTGAGCATCTATTGGACCAACTGGATAAACGTGTGCGCGAGCGTCAACCCCCGCCTCAGACCCTTGATCAGCTCCGACAAATGTTGCAACAGGAATGGCAAGCAATTCCACGCAACAACATTAGAACATTGATAGCGTCCATGCCGAGGAGATGCGTACCAGTCTTAGCAACGAGGGGTGGTCATACACGGTACTAACTTTAATGGCACAGGAAGTAATTCTAATTGTGATCAGTTAACTTTTATTCATCAATATCAATCTCGAAGGAATTGACTGTCCTCTTCTCAATGAAACACGTTTTGAGTGAATATCTTTATTAGTAATTGTAAAATTTCCATTCAAAATACGATCATGTATTAAAATTCTTAAAAATCCATTATGCGTCTCTTTTTTTTTGTAGAGTATAGTCCCGTATATATATGACAAATAAGTTGAGCAACCTAAACAGACATAATTGGTCGGAGTTAACATAATTCCTTAGCAAATGTGTTGGACCAGAATGACGAATAGGTACTATGGGTTGCAACTGAAAATGAATAACAAGGAAAAATGGAAAGTGGGAAAGTTGGCTTCAAGCAGGCAAACATCCAAAGTTTTTAAAAGTGCAGAGAGTGCTGCACTCTTTTTAAATGAGACTCTGGATTTCACGTTCCCATTTCTATCGGACGTGGTTGCGTATTTATGCATCCCGTAAAGCAAAACGTATCTGCATGGATTGTATTGAAAAACACGAGAAACCAGTCACTATATATACATTTATACATGTACTTATCCCATTCATGCAACATTTTGAGTAACATGTACTAATATTACTGAGTGTTTTTTTTTGTTTTTGTTTTTTGGAATGTAGTATTATATCTCTAGGTCTAATTGATCTATATGTTCAGCAATTTAACGTCCCTCAGCAAACCGTACTGTGACCTGTAGTTGCAATTATACCACATCTTCTTTTTTTTATATGGGATCCGTCTTGGTGATAGACAATTTACATTAAAGCAGTATTACTTACAATCTGGCAATAAATTACTATGAACAGCAGCCACTAGTAACCACAACTTTCACAATATGGAGGGCGTTCATAAATTAAGGTTCCAGTACTTTATCGATGTTCAAATCTCGTAAAACGATTATAAATTTTAAAATTTAGACAAATAATGGTAACAAACAAAAACCTGAGTGAACTCCAAAAGTATTGAGACCGGTTGCGTCGATAGTGTAAGCGTCTCCTACTATGCATGCATCACCCGTCATTCGAATTGACACCAAGTCAAACTGTCATAATCGGGAATAGGAAAAAATTGTAATATAACATAAATGACGACTTAACTATCACCTAAAGAAAGAAGACCGCGAAAACCTGTCGCTGTGCTACATTTTTTTTTATAGTTCGAGATGCAACTTCTATCGTTCATTACAAAATGCATATTTACCGTTTAGTTGACATTTTTAGAGAAAATTATTCTCTCTTTCGTAGCATTTAACTTTCGATATTACTAATACTTTTGTTGATTGATTTCTGTTTCTGAAAACATCCAGTGGCTAATATTGCATGTATATTTAGGTCAGGAACACGGCAATTATTAATCAATCCATGAGGTATGTTCTGCAAAGTGGTCATCTGCGATAAAAGATTGAAGTTGCACTGTAAAATGAGGGGAAGGAGTAGAAATTTTGCCTTGCAACAGGTTATCTACATTTTCCAAAAGGAGTTGTTGCAAGAGTTCTTTATCGTGCTAAGAGTGTGACATTCTCCCTTCTTCTGGAATTTAACGGCGTTCCCATTTTGATCGCAAAATTCATGCAAACTTTGGCATTTGATAAAGTCGTAAACATATCAAGCATTTTGAGCATAATACATGTAATATTTTGTAAACTAAGACAAAATTAATGATACGGAGTTTGTACTAAACAATACATTCTTGAGAACCCGATATCAAAGTGAATTTCAATTATGATGAAAATTGAAATGTTAGTACAAAGCGCTATAACTCAACAATACAATCTCAGAAAAAAATACCACAAATGGATTCCGTATTAATGATGCTTGATTGATTGTTGGTTGCTTTACGTCCAGTGGTAAACATTTCATGCATATGTTCAGGACGAGACCAAATTTACAATAAATATAATAGGTAGGTCCTGTACAAAAGGCCGTCCGGGATGAATGTATAGGGAAATTTGGACTTCCTAGAAAATTTGGATATATTGGATAGGGACAGAAACTTTCCCTTGCAACAGGCCACATAGGAACCCCTCAAAGAGTTGTTGCAAGAGTTCTTAACGTGCAAAGAGCTTGGCACTCTCTTTAATCGAAGCATTAAATTTAACGTCTCCATTCTGACCAAACGTGTATGCGTATTTGTACATCCCGCACAGCCGTAAAGATTGTCCACTTCAGCGAGGATTTTACTGCCGACCAGAA